ATTGAATTTACTATCCGATTATAATCGACAACAATATATTGGTTATTACGTATAAACATATTTAAAAAAATTTTTTTTTTCTAAATTCATATATGTGTAGTTGAATATTAGAGAGGCAAAAATGTAAATAAAATCATATCGGTATCATGTAAGAACATCTTTATTATTAACCCTTGGAGTACCGGCCTCTTTTAACCGTGATTTTGATGACATGTGTTCTTTTTTAATAATCCTTTTACTTTTCAGCCAATATTTTCGTAAGATCTGACCTTTTCTTGTTTTATTCTATAGAAAAAAATGAGAACGATGTTCCTTATTTAGAACAATTAATACAAAAGACACGTTTGACAGAATGATCACTACAAACGAACGAAGAACAACTGAAACATTGAATTGATGTTTTCTTGTCCGTAGAACGTTCACAAATGGAGCACCTTTTTCGTTTTGGTTGAGTGGGATTTTCATTCGCTTCTGCCGGATCGTTCTTCGACACAGGATAACCGACGATTGCTAAAGCATTTAGAATATCTGTGTTCAAAAATTTCGAGTTCTTCGAACGAAAATCCAACAGATGCGATACCAGTGCTAATCCTAATTCTTCCAAAAATAATCGACGTTTATGATTTGTATTCTGATTCCATTGAGGATTTTTCACTTTCCAGACAATCAGAGCATTTATGGCAGCAATGTCTATCATCCCATAGAAAATACAAACTGGCCATCGCTTTGTACCTCGTTTTACCTGAAAAGTAAAATAAGCTATAGAAATACTGAAATATTTTTTACCGTGTATTTATGACACATTTGATCAACAGTATCGACAGCCCCCTTTGTTTTGTTATAATCCAATATAATGATCGGTTTTCCAGTTTTATTGTCCACTTGATTGTCGTGATGTTTTGAGGAGAGCAATAAAACAGCTTTATTCTGTTTTGGGACAAATGAAACTAAGGTTAAACCATCTTGGAAACCAAAGAGCGAAGAACCCACTTCACGATTTTCGTTGGATTGAAACTCGATAGGTATTTCTGACTTGTTTTTTCGCAGTGTTCCTATAAGAGTCAGATTCTTTGTTTGAAGCGTTTGGGCTAATGGAACACTTGTGAAGAAATTATCTATTGTAACGTTTCTTTGGAAGCCGTAAAGTGGTTTGAGTAATTCTAGAACGACTTTGGCACCTATCTGTGTTTGTCTTTGCTCATTCGGTTGTCGTCCAACGTAAGGAAATGCATTGAATACATAATGTGAGTCCACATCAACGCATAGCCAAAATTTTAATCCGTATTTGTCAGGCTTTTTTGGCATATATTGACGGAAGGAACATTTTCCTCTAAATCCTAGTAGTTGTTCATCAATAGTAACATTTGATCCCGGTGTGTAACATGTTTGTAAGCAATTTTGGAAATATGACCAGATTTCACGAATTGCTGCAAATTTATCTGTTCGTTTTCTTTCTTCCCTTGTTCTTTTGTCGTCAAATCTCAAACAAGAAATAATATCCTGAAAACGAGTTCTTGACATAGTGGCTTTGAATATTGGCGGTTCTAATGGACTTCTTCTCCATAAGCATTTCAGATCGATCTTCGATTTCCCCAATAAACCAGCAAGCAATAAAAGTCCAATAAATGCTTTCAATTCTATGAGTGTTATTTCTTCAATTTTTTTCGTGGAGGTATTCTTGTGAGTATACTCCAAGTTTGAATAATCCAAGATTTTTTCCAGAAGTTTGTTTGGCATAAAACACATGAATGCATCTTCGACAGATGAAATATTTTCACTGGTATTTGTAAGACCAGCTTTTTGAATAACATCATTCGAAAAATCATTTTTCGTTGAATGATGAGGAGTTGAGGACCAAATCATTCCAGAACGGGAAGTATACGAACTTTTCCATGTGGAGTCATCGTCTAATTTTAGGTTTTCTAAATCAATTTCATCATCATCGTCGGATGTTTGGCTTTCGCCATCTCCCGTTTCCGAACCGCTGTTTGCATCATCGAAATAATCACTGTCGCTTCCGGTTTCACTTGAACTGTCCATAATCTTTATGAAAAATATTTCAATGGATTGAAAATGCACACCCCTTTAGATCAGAGAATGACTCATTTTATTAGACATTAGAATTTTCATTGTTTCTCCGTTTTGTAAAAAACATATTACTGATACAATGTTTTACTAAGGGGGCGCACTAATATGGAGAAAGAATGTATTTCGTTCTAGATTCATTATCATATATCTCTTCGTAAAGGTTACTAGCTGCTGCTGAAAACTGCGAAACAACAAAACATGTTTAGCATTTTTCGGAGATTTCGAGCGTGGGGTCAAAAATGACCCCGGCTGGTACTCCAAGGGTTAAAGATCTGTTGAAATTTTCAGCAATAAGTGTCATTTTGTATATGTAACATAATCTAATTCATCTGCTCGATAACTCATAACACTTCATTGTTCAAGATATCGACCAAGTATTGGGTTTTTCGAATTCTAATAACTCACGAATACTATTTGCAATTGACTAAAGAAAATGTCAGAATGACAGGTTTTTATATTAATATTAGACATCGAAAATTGTGTTAGAAAAGTTTTAAACTATTTTTAATCCCTTCAAGACGGATCGTGTATATATACGTGATAACTCCGTAGAAAATTGTAATTAATTTACGAGTGTCTCTATGATATTTTTCTAATTTGTTAGAGAACGATGACCATCCACCAGCATTACTCTCAACTATTTCTGTTATCTTCTATTTCTTTTCTATACTTGTAAAAATCACCACTCTGTGCTGTATTTCAAGACTGTTGTTGTTATTACTATATAGAACAATAACTCAATAACAAATAAAGAATAGCGGAAATCACTAGAAAAAGGAGAAAAATATATGTCTTGTCTGAAGTAAAAAAGAATATTTCAGAATATACATGAATAGATTAACAAAGAGAATTTTTGATATCATTGTACAATAACATAAAGAGAAAAAACATCTGAGACCAATCTATACAGAGGAGTAATCATTCATGATACATATAACTTTACAATTTAAAACATTCTTTTCCGTATACTCAAGCGTATTACCTTCATAATCAATATTCTTATATATACATTCGTCTTTTTTCGTTCTTATTCTATAGTGGTTTGGAGTCAAATACAGCTCATGCTCATATAAGCATGAGTGGTTTTTCTTCAACTCTAATTGGAGAATATCTCAGGGTACCATTAGTAAGTTTTTAAGGGCTATATCAGGATGCTAAACGCAAGGCGACATCAACACTATCAATATATAATTGTATTAGTATCGTTATATCCATAGTGTTTAGTTCATACTCTTTTTCGCTAGGTATACAGTTTCCCAGGATGTTAAATCGCAATCTCACGAGTTAGAGCAGCCAACTAGAGTTCTTTAACAACGGAACACATAGATAGGTGTGTAGAAAATGTACACGATTCTAAATGTACACCAATAAACATGTGAAAAACTTCTTAATGCATGAATCATTGTACAGAATATGAAATTGGTTATTTCATACGAAAGTTTTTGTTGGGTGTGGGTGTAGGTGTGGCTGTGGCTGTGGCTGTGGGTGTGGCTGTGGGTGTGTGTGTGGGTGTGGGTGTGGGTGTGGGTGTGGGTGTGGGTGTGGGTGTGGGTATGGGTGGCTGTGGGTGTGGGTGTGCGTGCAAGTGTAAGTGAAGAGAACACCAACACCCACACCCACGCCCACACTCACACCCACATCCACCCACACCCACATTCACACCCACACCCACCCACATCCACACCCACACCCACACCCACACCCACACCCACACCCACACACAACTAAATATTAAATTGTTTATTATCATTATTTATTTTCTTTTTGAAAAACATTCTATGAAAAAGAAAATTATTTTTCATATTTATTTCGAAATATTTTTCTTCGTCATAGTTATTACTAATCAATGATTCAATACTTTTTCTCTTTCTCTATATGTCTAATGTTGATATATTATATATAATATATGTTATTGAAAGTCAAATAAATAAATAAATATCTTGAGTAAATTTATTTGTTTGTTTTTTTTCTCTAAAGATAAGTATTTATATAATATGGTTGAAGTGGATCTCTTTGAAATTGAGCATCGGAAGCATGTAAAGCATAATCTAGAGGTAATGATGATATGATTGGTGATAGACTTTGATTGGTATCATATGATCCCAATGCATATTGATCTCTATATTGCATTGGATCATATGGAAAATAATTATTGAAATTATTTTCTGGTAAATTAAAATAATCAGTTGGATATTGATAATTGTATCCTTGATCATATGGATAATGAATTGGTTGACTTGATAAAACATTTGCTGGTATTTGTGGTGGCGAATAAAACGGTGGTGAACTAACCAGTGGTGGAAATATCGGTGGTAACGTAGTATCGATTGACGGTTGAGGTACAGATGGAGCATAGACAGGTGTTTTTTTTGAACTCCTTAAATAGAAAACAAAAAAAGGGAATAATTAATTATAATATTTAATTAAATTTTTCAGATTTATTTCAAATAACTTTTTCATTTTTAATGTTTGTCTATTTGATGGAGATACTCTCATATCAAGAATGAGAGCAATTAATGAAAAAAAACAAACTATTGTCATAATAAGACCAACAAGACCATTCCACCATGCCCAATCAAGAAAACCTGCTTGATTACTACGACCTTGAACAGACATTACACCCAATGTTGCTGATAGAAATACAACTAAAACAATATTTTACTTATTAGTTTTTCTTCATTTATTTATTTAAACTTACTGCAAATAAATAAAAGAACGGCAGCAGCAAGAAAGACAGCTTCAAATGGTAATCCATCAAGATTAATTATACCAAGTATAATAAGAAAAGCAGCAAATACATAAAATATCAAAGATATTATTTCTAATGCTTGACTAGTTTGAATAAAACCTTTAAAAATAAATAAATAACTGAATAAGATATATTAACGCAATAAATCTCAACCTGGTTTTCCTATAGAGAATGTAGTAGAAGTTATATTTGAGCTAAATGTATCATCAGTCCATTGATTACAAACACCTGATGGACTTGTATCACAAACTCTCCAAAGACCAAAACGAATTGAAACATTAACATATGTTATCCATGGAGTTCCTCCAAATGAAACTAAATTAAGAACAAGATAAGATATTGTTGATATAATAATAACCAATAATAAAACTCGTCCGAGACCAGTTCTTGGAGATAAAACCATCTCTATTTATAATGTTATACTTTGTCAATCGTTCCGTATCGTTTCTTTTTGCTTTAATATGAATGTTACAGGTATGGACGAACATATTTTTATATTAACGCATCAATATCACGTTTTTCTTATTGACGCTACAAGGTAAAAAACACTTCTTTTCTCTACTCAAACAAATTTTGTTTTCATTTTTCTAAATAAGCAAATAAAATATTTCTATTAGAATAATCGAACAAATAAGAAAAAATTCAATTGAAAATAGATCGACTATATAGTACTAATACCCATTTCAAAAAAGAAAAAGTGTGAGTATTTTTTGAATAACTTTTGATAGGAACTAGATAGAGAAGTGCGCTTTTCACCGTTTAAAAGAGGAGATGAAACTGCAACGAATAGTCTATATCAGATTTTTCTGATAAGTTTTCTCAGTCTCTGACCAATTTTTTCAAACAATCCAGGCTTTTGAACAAGTTTATAAGGTTGATTTTTTCGTTGAAAAATGAGAAAAAAAGGACAGTTTTCTATGAAAAATCTGCCGATAACATGCAGCAAAATGTGCGGGTGTGGATGTGGGTGGGTATGATTATCCCTTTAATAGCATCCACATCCACACCCACACCCACACACACCACCCACCCACACACCCCCACCCC